TTCATGCAAAGTGAAGTTAGGAGAGTTAAGAATACAGTATGCACAATGGCTAAACCAATGTAAATGGAAAGAACAATCACCAAAAAAAAAAAAGAAAATCAAAAGTGAATGTTGGAAAGTTATGAAGAACAAGCACGGCTTGAAAGAAGAGCTATGAGAAGACACCCCCTATTCAGAGGTAAAAGGCTATGGTACATTGCAAATATTTTCAGATTTTTTGATATATTTTTGATATATTTGATATATTCATCAGTTATAGTGATTTTTGCCCTTGCTTTTTTCTGTTATTGTTCTTAAAATATGTTATTTATTATATGGGATGGCTCTTTTGGAGGTGAACAAGAAGCATTATAGAAGAAAAATATAAAAGACATCAATAAAAACATTTTTAAAAAAGCAAACTTGCCTAAAAAAGTAATTACACCCCAAAATAGAACTTAATACACGCATTCTCAGAAAAATAAGAGGAAGTAGGTAAAGTGGAGAAGAAAAGGTTAAAATAAAATATTTCTATGTAGGCGGTTAAAAAAAAAATAAAACAAAAAAAAATAGAAGGTGCTTAAGATTTGTGGGACCTTGTACAAGTTTTTTCACTTCTCTGCAACTCAATTTTCTTAATGGAGCGTCTAGGTTTTTAAACTGCATGAGTAAGGCACCTTCTCACTCTTAAACAGAAGAAAAGTGCAGGTCAGAATCACTTTAAACTCTCATCATTCTTTGTAACTCTCTATGATTAATCACTGGTTGCTTACAATGGACAAGTAAAATTTAGACATGCTTGATCAGAGAGATCATCCTTATGGATTAGATATTAAGCCTCCAAAAATTAATTTCAGTTCAAAATAAAGAAATCAAAACCACAAGTTGACAAGTTCCTTCATTTTTATTAGAATGTACTATCCTATGTTTGAGTTTTTCAAAAGGAAAGAGAGAAAGCAATATGTTTCATAAAAAATACACTCAGTTCTGCAAATTCTAATACAAACAAGAAAACCAAATGACATCACTGAGAATAAAGACTCCAGGAGCCAAATCAGAGGCTGAGAACAAAAAATAAGTATTACAAAAACTAGACCAGATATATAGAAGAGGTTACATGAGGCCTCATAATGGCTAAGAAATCTATGTTTCAATGTCTCTGCTCCAAGGACAACTAATAAGTTGCTACAAAACAAAACCTTATCACAATTACACTGCAAGTTAAATCAAATGAACAAATTTATTTTTACATTTAACGACATCCATTTTAAGAGCTTAGTGGACTTTGTTGAATTTAAGACTTATTGGAAGTACACTGCCTCCTGGATTTTAGTGAAACTCCTTAATTAGCTAATTAGAAATGAAAAACTGCATTCTACTCTTAGAATGCCCCCAGGTAATAGAGAAGTTAGGATTAGGATTTTGGCAAAAGAGAATGAGTTTAGAGAATGATAGTATTTTTTGGGCTCCAGCAGTTGGACTAAAAAAACTGGTAGCAGAAGGCCAATGTTTATTCATTGACTCAGTAAAAGAAAAATGAGACCCATCTAATAAATTTTGGGATTTCCACTTCAAGACTCAACCTGTTTTTAACAATTTCCACAAATTTATAAAACTTGTTATGATTTCAAGCAACATGTCTAGTACATGGAAAGCTGGCCTCATATAGGAAAACCTTGGTTGTAGTCTCACCTGTAAAATGTTCTTCAGTGGCCCTAGAGAAGCCACTGAACCCTTCTGTGCTCTATGTGCAGGTCTCTAAGATCCTGAATTACAGAGAAGGTGCAGATCAGCACCTGGTAAATAGAAAGTCACTATTGAGGAGATCCCTGTGTCACTGAAATCACAGGTCCATTCTCTTCTCATATCTCTTCTGTTCATATGGTTCATAAAGCCCTTTGTTATTTAAATGGTGTACAGCAGACCTAGAATAGTTTTAGCTCCAGAATCTCAAGATGAGAGGGAAGGCCTATAAATACTTGAGGTTCCCCCTTATTCTTTGGCATCCCAAAGAAGCCTTCAACTTTATTTAGTCAATAGGAAGTTTTAGTTTCATAGATTTAGAGTGAGAAAGGGCTTCAGAGGTCATCAACTATGAAACCCCCTTATATTGCTGATGAGGAAACTGAGGTACAAAGAGGTTACAGGACATACAAATAACAGTGAGGATTGAAACCGAGAGGTTCTGATTCTGATTCCTTCTCTTCTAATCTCCTGATTCTATTCTCTTCACTGTACAGTGCTATCCTCTCAAAAAAGGAAAGTCATGCATGTACACAGTCTGGCGACTGAATTACTAGACCTCTGGGCTGAATTTTATGCAGAAGACAATTATATTTCTGGAAAAGTTATTATATAATTATATATCTGAAAAATGGTCCAAATTAGAACAGATTTTTTCCATGGAAATAATGGATTCTTGCCCCAGGAAATGCTGATGACCAGCTTTTAAAAAATAGTATCAAACACTATAAATCAGGCAAAAATACATTGCAAGGTGGCACAATGTATAGAGCAATGGGCCTGGGATCAGAAGACCTGAGTTCAAATTCTGACTCAGACACTTAGTATGTGAGCCCGGAGGCAAGTTATTTAATCTCATTCAGCCTCAGTTATCTGTAAAGTGGGTTTAATATTAACACCTACTTTACAAGGTTGTAGGGAAGATCACAGAAGATAATATGATTTCCTTGATAATAAGGACCGTTTTTATTAGAAGCAGTTAAGTGGTACAGGGGATAGTAAAGCCTGGAGGAATTATTCAAATTCTGACTCAGACATTTACTAGCTGTCTGACTCTGACCAAGCCATTTAACTTCTATTAACCCCTGTTTCCTCAACTGCAAAATGGGGATAATAATAGCATCTGTCCCTTAGGGTTGCTGTAGGATCAAATGACATAATATTTGTAAAGAACTTAGCACAATGCCTGACACGTAATTGATGGTTAATAAATGCTTGTGTCCTTCCTTCTTTCTTTCTTACCTACAGAATAAAAGCCTTCTAAATTAGATGTAAATCAATTAAGTAAAATGCTAGTAAAACTAATTCATCAAATTTAGTGGTTCACAAGGAATATAATATAGACCAAAATGAATGTTAAATTATTACAGAGAAAATAATTTTTCTAAATAATTTTATTTAATATACTTTTTACTTATTATGCACACTTGGTAACTTATGTAATTTGCAAAATAAACAAAACCACACAGTCGCTTACTTCAACTCACAAGATTTTTCACTGAAAAAATTAAGTGTCTGACACACTGAAGCTCAACAATATACAGTAAACAAATACAGCATTTACTGAATATATATATCCGATACATCAAAGGATAAAACTATCTTTGTGTTACTATAAGAAATAAATATTCAATGCACATTATTATGTAAAATAACATAAAATGGTAATACTTGGCATATATATGGGGTGCCTTGGTGAAGCAACTAATAAGGTGAAATTGATTTTTGCCTCTTCCTCTTTTTCTTTAAAAATACTACTTGTCTGGTGCAGTGAATAGAGCACTGGCCCTGAAGTCAGGAGGACCTGAGTTCAAATTCCACTTCAGACCAAACACTTGACACTTACTAGTTATGTGACCCTGGGCAAGTCACTTAACCCCGGGCAAGTCACTTAACCCCAATTGCCTTAAAAAAAAAAAATACTACTTGTTATAAATGAAAGACTGATGATCAAAAAAAAAAAGATAAAAATAAAATAAGCAAAATAATAAGTTTTTTAAAAAATTTATTGCTAACAGAATTTTTAAAAATATCAATGCTGAAAATTAGGTCAGCTATATTGACATTTTATTTACTTGAGATAAATTAACATGTTCCTTATTACTTATTGAATGACCAGGGGGTAGGCAAATGTATCACTCAAAGCTTTTGGCTTCTTTTTGTGTTCATTAGATAATCTGTCTCTTGGGTTAGTGCCTAACTGTGAGAGAATTTGAAGAGGGAAAACTGATCTTCTTTCTTCTTGTTATAAAATGAGGAAAAAATTATTAGCCGCACCTGATGAGATTTTTAAGAATGAGAAGTTTTATATTTGTCAGTTAACCTTATATAATAATTCTGTATGCAGCTTTAATTTACAAAAAATAAAATGACATTTCAAAAACTTTAATTATATATACGACCAAACAGAATTTCAAGTGATCAGCAGATCATTTGAGAAATATCCTCTGTTGGAACTCAAAAAACCCCAATCATATTAAAAATGAATCTACCTAATAATACTTGTGAGACCATTCAAGTTTTTTGCTCCTAAACTTATACTTATCTGTGATTTAACTGATCAGAATTCATCTATTCCTTGAGGATCATAGTTCTCCTTCCTCCTGATCCCTATGGTCGCACTACTATGCATTCCACAGGGGGAAGGTCTCTTAATTGAAACAAACTCTTTAATTTCTCTTCAGAATTTACTGTTTAATACAGACATCAAATATTAATTATAACAACCAAGCAAGATGTTTCCTCATTATCAGAACACAACCGTGATTCTCTAATCCATTTTTTAAAAGCCACTAATGGCAATTCTGTTTAGATTGGCTTTACATCATTTAATTTTCCTTTTTTTTTTTAACGCAAAAAACCAATGTATTTGGTACAATAGCAAGTATGCTAATGGAATCAGAGCATGTACCCAGACATTGGTTTAGTTGTTGTAAAACAAATGTGTCTGCTCTGTTTTCACATTTATCTGAGTGGTATAGTCCACTGGGGTACAAATTGACTCTATTAATGTTATCACTTAATTAACATTCAAATTAAAAATGACATTAAGTACAACAGGCTATGAAAATAAGTCAGTATGACTCCATTTCAATATCAAGGGCTCCTCCATCAAATAAGCTTATCTGGGCACTGTGAAAATTTTTTAACCCTATCAAAAGAAGAAAAAGAAGAAAATAAAAACTACCTCCTAGAGAACAACCTGGAAAAAAACCAAACCAAAACAAAACCAAGAACCTCAAACTTAAGAGAATCCTTTCTGCTTTAGAATGCCTCACCTCTAACTCTTGCTCCCTTTGTAGTGCAAACTGTTTGAAGGACTTGACAATAAGGCCAGCATTAGAGCAATCATAGACGAAAATGGAAGGGCTGCCCATCCAAGTCTGCAGATCATATATGGACAGTGGAATATATTGAGTATAGTTCTGGAAAACAAAAACAAAATAAATATACATTACTTATGCATTGGAAGAACTATAGATATAATTCCCTTTCCCAGATTACATTTTTAAAAGCTACTATTAAGCTTAAATGAGTTTTAACTGTATAATTTTGCAATAATGAAAAGAACAGTACATAAATTATTAATCTCAATTTTCATTCATTCAAAAAAGGCCACTATTATGTTTTGCTATGCTAGGCTCTGGGTAGTTTGGGGAGATACAGAAAGTGAGTAAGACATAGTCTCTCCCCTTAAAGATTTCACAATCTAATAGGAAGAGATTTTTTTTTTCCTGATTGACTTCTTGGGGAGTAGGGGGTTGGGGTAAAGGAGAGAAGTGTCTTCCCCTTCCCAATCTAAGACACTATAAATTCATAGGACATAATCACAGAAGATGAGATGTTAGTGTGTCACCACGGACAAAGAAAAATTGGCCACTGACCTACTGTCCTGGAGAGAGTTAACACTTTGGGTATTCCAGACCAATAGTAGATCTAAGTATAACTAATGAGGAGAAAGATGTGTTTAAAAGTGGAGCTATTTGTCTAGGAGATCCCTCATACAGCAGCTGAAGAGTAACTTAGAGAGGGCCTGAGGCCTAGCTGAAGGAGCAGAGACATAGATTCCAGCCACACATGTAACTGGAGGCCAGAAGTGACTTCAAGGTATAAGGCCTCTGAAGAAGACAGAAGAGAGAGCTAGCCCCATAAACTGAGAATTGAGTTGAAGGGAGGAGCAGAGCTTGGGAGCATGGCTGAATGTCTAAGCTAGCAAAGACTGTGGAAAGACGGAAACTTTGAGAGAACATGGCAGAAGAGAAATGACTTCCAAGCCCAGCAGAATCTTAGTAGTGAGTAGCCTCAGTCACGTGTTTTCTGTACATTCATGTCTCACAACTACATGTCTCCTTGTGTGTGATCATTCTTCCCACATGCTATGCATATTTTTGGTAAAGTATACCTCAGCCTTATGGGTGGTTTTTGTAGCTATTGTTTTTGCTAATCCATATTAGTAATAAATGTCTCTGCTAAGAGCTAATGGGATCAACTGTTGAGCTGTTAATATAAAACATACCAGTAGGGGCTTGTCAGGGAAGGAGATAAGCATTTATAAAGTGCCTATTATATACCAGGCGCTGTGCTAAGCACTTTTTAGAAATATTAACTCATTTCATTTTCACAATAAACCTTGCAAGGTAGGTGCTATTATTATCCCCACTTTATAGTTGAGGAAACTGAGCCAAGGGGTTATGTGAGTTGCCCAGAGTCACAAAACTAGTAAGTATCTGAATTTAGATTTGAATTCAGGTCTTCCAGACTCCAGACCAAAGGCTCTATCCAACGTGCAAATAGCTCCATGATTCACAGTACCTAATAAAACACTGTGCATATACCAGGCACTAAATAAATGAATAGTGCCCTATATTATATATACCAATAGTATGTGCTCTAATACAACAGTAAACTGTACCTGCCACCCAAAAAAAAAAAAGAGAAGAAAATGAGAATGACAGGACAAATAAGAAGAAACCATCTCTTAGAATAACAAAACTATAGAAATATAGAAGTTAGAAGGAACTTTAGCTTGTCTAACACTTTTCTTTTAGAGATGAGTAACTCCAGAAAGATAAGGTGATTTCTCAAATGTCACAAAGTTTGTTAGTAGTCATGACTATTTGTTGCTGTTCAAATATTTTCATGCATGAGTTCTATGCGCACACTCCTTGTAGGTAAGACTTTTATTTCGTTTCTATCATCCCTTTAATAATGCCTAGTAAAGTCAACAAATGTTGTTTTTGCTGCTAATAAATATAGAGAAGCTATAAGGAAGAGGATCACTATGTAAGACATAATTCTTAAGGAAGTTTTTATGATGCTATTTACAGAAAATATTAGATATTATACAAATTATTCAATACCCTGTGCTCTATGATTCTCCAACATGACATTAGTTACAGACAGAGCTTTTGAAATGCAGTCAAGTCAATTGGCTATCTTGAAGCCCCCAGTCGTTATCTTTCCTTGGGTGCACATTAAGAATTTTACACTTATTGAGGCCAAATGAAGTTCTGACATCATTTGTGCACATGAAGCAATTAATAAGATACTTGGTCCTAATACTTTAACTGAGAAGTCATGTAGTTCAAATTTAGGTGAGATGATAATAGATTTAAGAACCATCACGTGTTTAAACTGCTTCCCTGAAAAATGTCACATTTAATATTAATTTTCTTGACATTGCTAAGTTAGTGACATTTTCTTTATTCAAAAGAACATTTTTCTACTTGGACAACAAATACACTAGCATTCTAACTATACTTGGGACTATTGTATATATTTGTGGTACATGTATATTCCAAAAGTATGTGTCTGAGACAAAACCTTTATAATAATTAAGAATGAGTAGAGTTACCTTGCTTATGGGCAGCTTTGCCAATAACAATGCAATTTAAAAAAAATCCTTGGAACCTGTCAAGATTTTTTGCAACATCTATTTCCTTCCTCAAATAATATATTGCTTTCATGAATTTACATATTTCTTAAAATGACAAAATTTTGAATGCTTTGTTTCAAGTATACTTACATATAAACTGGACCATATTTGGAAGGGCCACTAATGGTCTTATTTTTTGGTAAGAAAAGCGAGAACAGGCTTATATCAGAGAGAAAGATGGTAAAGTGCTTTGCTGGTATGTAATAATCACTGTGAAATAATAACTGTGAATTATTTCAATCCTTTGAAATAATACTTATAGATCTTAATAAGGCAGGGTTTCAATTCTGTTGTTCAATATATTAAAAGTAGTGCACAAGCTTTCTATTTCTTACTTGATTTGATTTAACTTTTTTCCCATAAACATAGAGAACCAGAGATTTTCTACATCCTCTATCCTCTGGGTTTCTTTCCACTTTAATTTCTTCACTTCTCAAGCCTCTATAATCTTCTGAGAGATGTTGAAATGTTACTTTGTCCTCTATATTGCTTTCATTCCTTACATATTTTAAAATTTTGAAACTGTTACTTTCAATAGCTGAACAAAGGAATCTAGAATCTCTGGTGGACCTTTATTTTCCAGATTTCCTTTCAAATGTTTCCTTTTTTGTTGTCTCCTTTAATGGGGGAATATCACATTCAATTTTTCTACTACATGTACTATCAAATAGATGTGACAGGTATTTGCAATGCATTGTTCTAGAACTTCAATAACTTTCTCAAGATTCTTCTGCTATAGTGGTGTTCTTAAGGGGTATTCCTTGATTCTACTACCTTTCATGCTATGATTCTTAAGACTACAATAGCATTTCGTCTGTTAGGTGGATTCAAGTTAACGTTAATCAAATGCAAAAAGGGCTTTTCAGATTTATGGTTTATGCATGCCTACCTTTTTTTTTTTTTCAAAATCAAGTGCTGTTTATCATCTGCTTAGTAATTTGGGTATACTTTTTTTGTAATTTACATTTTCAATGACCTCAGGATTTTCAATTTTGCAGAACCCCTCAACCTCAACCCTTATTTCATCTAAACTGGGTTTATGGATAAAATTATTACTCTATGATTGCCTTACACTTGTTGGCAACATGTTATGTGACTTACAACTGAAGTTATCCTTGATAAAAACAAGCAGAAAGCCTTTGTCTATAATTGGTGAAAAAATTTCCAAATTTGTAATGATCTTTTTTTGGACTGGACCTGTGATTTCACCATTATTGGGAGCAACTTCTATGAAATAGCTAAACTTTGCCTACCAGTGCATTTCAGCACCACCTCTGAAACTTGTAGTCTTAAAGAGGTGCACTTGATCAGGTGCCTCTCCTTGCCAAGCTGTCATCACAGTGGCTTCAAGTGGAGTCGCTTGGAAGCCTATACCTTTTCATCTACTGCTTAGATTCAGGATTATAAAATTAGCTGCAGTGCTAATGCAATTAACATTAAAACCTTGAATTAATTGGCCAGTATTACAGAGTTCATACTAAGTTAGTCTTGTGGGAGATAGTGTTGCTGTCACAATAAACTGGCTGGCATTTCCTTACTGTGCCATGCTCTCATGCTCTTTCCCTCCTCCCCCTACTCACCCCGTGTGTCTCTGTCTGTCTGTCTCTTGTCTCTCTCCCCAGGCAAAGGGTTGGCCTTGAGCAAATTCTCATCACTGTTATTATCATACCCATTGAAATTTAACAATACATTAAAAATAGATGTTTTGAAAGATTCTTTTCCATGTTCAATTCCCAGTGCTTCTCACTTTCATTAATGATCTCTCTCTCTTGATATTCTTATAAGTATTGAAGCTGAAGGAGAATCTAATGCACCTAGACTTAGAGTAAAGGGACAACATGGCTAAAAATGAGTATTTAATTTTTTTGTCAGCTGGTACAGCTTCTTGTACTGCCTCAAGGTTTCTTTACAACTTAGTAAGAAGTGTGGTAAGAATGGGACACTAATTATTGGTGGAGTGGTGAGCTAGTCCAACCATTCTAGAGAACAGTCTGGACAATGCCCAAAGAACTATAAAACTATGCAAACCCTCTGACCCAGCAATACTATTACTACTATTATTACAGATACCAAAGAAAAGGGAAAAGGACCTATTTGTACAAAAACATTTGTAGCAGTTCTTTTTGTGGTAGCAAAGAATTAGAAGTCAAGGGGATACTCATCAAGTGGGGAATGGCTGATCCAACTGTGGTATATGATTGTGATGGCATACTACTGTGCTATAAAAAATGACAAGCAGGATGACTTCAGAAAAACCAGGAGAACATTGTACACAGTAACAGCAATATTTTAAGGATGATCAACTGTGAATGACTTAGCTACTCTGATTAAGACAATGATCCAATTCCAAAGGACTCATGATGAAAAAAGCTATCCACCTCCAGAGAGAGAAGTGACGAACTCTGAAAAAAACAAAAAACAAAAAATAAAAAAAAAGCAACTTAGTAAAAAGAAAAGCAAGGCACATTAGAAAAAATGAAGCCAGTTCCA